TTAAAGCGTTCGCTTGTCACGCTGAAGACCCGGGTTTGATTCCCGACATGGGTACAATGTATGAAGCCCATTTCTGGTGTCCCCGCCATGATATTGCTGGACTATTGCTAAAAGCGGCGTAAAACCATACTCACTCACTCACTCACTCACTCACTCACTCACTCACTCACTCATTATCATGCTACTGTACTTAACACTCTGCACTTCAGACAGTGTTGGCAGTAAAACAACTTGCTTACAAATCACACTAACCCAAACTACTTCAAGCCAAATAGAAAACAATATTGTCCTACACACATTCATTTTTACTTTTATTTTCCTCAAATCTAAACTAATTTGTCAGAAAAAATAAACTAAAAACTAAGAAACCAGAAAATGGTCTAATATTTTAATAATTTGCAGTCATGATAATACTTAATAATTGTTTTCCATTTTGAATTTTTAGTGATAGAAATTAGTTATTAATGTTACAGAAATGCCACATTGACATGATAGATGGGAGTGTTTTGTGGATCTGAGCACTTAGTATTGCCTGACATTGGTGAGGTGAGGTGAGGTGAGGCGAGGTGAGGTGAGGTGAAATGGGATTTAATGTTCCGTTAGAGATTATAAGTTTTAATATAGGGTAGGTTCACTTATGGAGTATAACAAATAGACTGTTAAATATTTCCTTGCCAAACATTGCATGTCTATATATAAAGCACATACTGAACTGGTGCCATTTGATATTAGGGAGTTTTAGAAATGTTTATTTTTGAATTTCCATTGCAGCTATTTTGACATGGTCTAAGAGAAATGTTGGGTTGACCTGATTTGGGACCACAACATGTTAAAATGGGCAGGGGATATAGATGACTTTGTCGACTGTAGGCTTGTTTAGTTAATAATGTACTGCCATTTTCAATGTAGAGCAAGGTTACCTATAAAAATAACCATTTACATGCTAAATTGACTGAATTGAAACAAAATGCACAGTTGATTTCTAGCATGTTTTCTTTCCAATATTTATTCCCAAACTCACTGTAAATATCGCACCAACCGAAACTCAGCAGTTTGTAAGCTATAATTGTACATAATATTTAAAAATTCTACCAACAATGATAGAGAAAGAAGTACTTTTCTGTAAATATTAGCCCCACGGTGATGTGGTTGGCAAATCAGCTGTTTCGATCAAACGTGGTTATTTTAATTTGAAACTTGGATCGATTGACCAATCAGAATCAAGCATTTCCCCAAATAGGGTAGATTATGATATAACTATTCAGCACTGTACTCTAATCGTGGCGTGAGGTCGTTCCTCTGTTGCCCTGGAAAGGCCAGCTATTATAAAGGGGGAGCTCGTAATGTCGCTCCGCCATGTTAACAAGGACACTTAACGACTCTCATTACCGCAACAGATGTTTTGTACTCTACATCTTGTTCATCGGAAGGGCTGTATTTAACATTGTTGACATGCATCTTTTTTACACTGGAACTGTTTTTTAGAGGATATTGCGATCAGTGTGTCAGACCGTCTCATCTGTCTGCCGTTCATTTTCCGTTCCTTGAGCAGAACTCCATAACCGTTGAATATTTCTTGTTGAAAATTGCTATACAGATCAGTCTAGTGGTGAACTGGTCCCTCTTGAAGATTTCGGTTGTTTATTTTTTTTATTTTTAAATTGTGTGAGATTGTCGGTGGTGAAAAAATACTTTTATCAATATTTTTTTTATTAAGAAGTTCTTTGAAATTGTTTTTAATTTTGTATGACATGTTTGTCAAGCCAGTATTGTCAGTTTAATAGTTGTACATATTGTTTGCAATCACCAATTCGAACACATTTCTCCTGCTTCTCCGCCACCACGTTATGCATGGAAGTTGGCCAAAATAATCGAAACAAATCGCGTTATAGTGTTCCTCAAGCATTTGCGATTCTAATGATTATAGTTTTATTACAAAATTCATCAGATGAAGTTTGCAGTTACCAATTGAAATTACCCTACTGTTTTGCATCATTTTTTTAACATTTTCACTTTCTAAGTCAAGATTACCTTTAAATGTTTTTCAAAAGTAGATTAATACAAACACAATGAATGTATGTTACTATTTGTGCCTTTCTTCATGCAAGTAAATACTTTTTTGATAACAAAGAGGGGAAAAAATGTAAAAACAGGCCAAACTGAAATTCTACCCAGAGTTATGGGATTTGAATTGCCGCATGGGCAAGTGGCCACCCTAACTGGCAATAGATCTGTAATCTAATTTTCAAAAGAAGTATAACTTTATGTTTCAAGTGGTTTGATCTTTGTGTATCATTATCAATATTCCAGTAGTGCAACTAGACAAACCATGAATGTTCTTCTCACATTGTCCCATGTGGGGAAGCAAACCCATGTGTTTGGCATGACAAGTCGACACCTTTACTACTAGGCCACCCCATCACTGTTTAAGGCATGATAGTTGAATAATTACTGGTCATCGAGAGTGTGTTGATTTACAAATTGATGTTAGCAATATTCCAGCAATATTGTGATGGGGACTACACCAGACTTGCTTATTTACAGGCTGCCATCATTTAGCTGGAAAATTCATGAGTGAGTGAGTATGTTTTTATGCCACTTTTAGCAATATTCCATCAATATCACGGCGGGGACACCAGAAATGGCCTCCACACATTATTCCCATGAGGGGAATTGAACCCCTTTAACCCTTTAACCACTGGGCTACCCCACCGCCGCATTGGCCATAGCCTGATATCCGTTTCTAACAAGGATGGGGGCGGTCGGGTAGCCTAGTGGTTAAAGCGTTCGCTCATCATGCCGAAGACCCGGGTTCGATTCCCGACATGGGTACAATGTGTGAAGCCCATTTCTGGTGACCCCCGCCGTGATATTGCCGGAATATTGCTAAAAGCAGCGTAAAACCATACTCACTCACTCAAGCAAGGATGAACAGAAGTAATGATTAAGACAGTTAGCACTCTCAGACTCAGCCCACACACAATCTGTTCCTCGTTTTCTGATCTCTATCCCGAATTTGTCTTCAAAGAAATAAACATCATTAACTGGACAAGTTTATACACTTGTCAAAAAACGAATCAACTATTCCGAAGGCTATAAAACATAATGTCACTTAATCAAATCCCAGTGGCAGTGGATAGACAAGATGAAAGAAACGAAGCCATCAAAATGCGATTCATCCTTGGAAGGAGTGAATCGCTACACATCATTTTTACCTGCATATTTCAATTCACTCTCTCAAAGCTGTTAAAACATGTCATGAAGGCCTACAGGCGTATCCATTAGAGGGGTTGAAAGGATTAGTTATTGATTAGCTGTTGTGGTAGACGGCAATGACTGCATCGTGCTGCTGCAACATGGCCTTTGTTGAGCTTTATTTGTCAAGACTGCCTTCGTGGTGTAGTGGATAGAGAGGAGAAAGGAAGGTCGGGGTTCGATCCCGCGCCGCCTCATATAAAAAGACATGAAAAGATGGTACTTGTTGTTACCCTGCCTGGTACTCGACATTAAAGGGATAAAACAAGGACTGGTTGTCAGTCAGTCAGCATCAGGAAAATTATTTGTATTAACTTTTGAGGAGAGAAATGTATTTTGTAATAAGAGATTTCATAGACTATAGGTCTATATGGCACTATAAAACCAGCATTAGTCCACACACACACAGACACAACACGCGCACACGCACGCACACACACACGCACACGCACACACACACACACACCCTAGATACAGACACCCACACACCCACACCCACACACAGAGACATATATTCATACACATCGCTATTTAATGCAACGTTAACCGACATTGATTTTCATCCAGTTCAACACTGATACACTACTCAGACACGGTACGAACTCCGAGCTGACTAGTCCTTGTTTAGCCCCTAAAATGCCGAGCACCAGGCAGGGTAACAACAAGTACCATATTGTAACATCTTTTGGTAGGACGCAGCCAGCAGTTCAAACCACCGATCTTCGGCAGACACTCTTTCCACAAAGAGCACGGAGACAGTTTCCAATGATTGAAGTGACGACGTGGAACCTATAACAGGGCTAAAAGCGTTCCAATGAAAAATTAATTGATTATAAAAAGTGGCCGATCTGGCAGAATGTAACTGTACACTGTATAGCTGATTCTCCTCCAGGCCTGTTTATTCAACATTCAAACTTGTGGATATGTTATTATTTTTCAGAAACACCATTTGATTCTAAGCGTTTTTGATCTTTTGTGGATTTTCTAACAGCGTGTCTGTTTTGTCTTTGATTGTATTATCTCTTGATGCTGGATGTAAACAGAGCAAATGAAATGGAAGTGGACCAGATTTGTGCAGAGTCTTTATAAACATGGTATTTCCTTGTAGGCTGTAAGGACGTAGAATGTGCAACTTAGATGTTGATAGTAGTGGGTCGATTACTGAGTGCTTTTAGAATGTGAGAATTGTTATGCATTTTTGGAATGTGAATGTTTTGCAGTTGTACAGCTATTGTTATCGCCTGTCCTTTATAGACACATGCATACAAAAATCCCACTCATTCACATTGTCACTCACTCACTCACTCACTCACTCACTCACTAACCTGCCGATCCATCCACTGACTCACTTACTCACTGACTCACTGACTCACTCACTCACTCACTCACTCAAACAACTGCTCACTCACTCACTCACTCAAACAACTGCCCTCCCATCCACTCACTGACCTTATTCTCTCACTCACTCACTCGGTGTCCCCCACTCACTCACTGACTGACCTCATTGCCTCACTCAACTCACTCACTCACTCGCCCACTCACTCACTCACTCAAACAACTGCCCTCCCATCCACTCACTGACTCACTCACTGACCTTATTCTCTCACTCACTCAGTGTCCCCCCACTCACTCACTCACTCACTCACTCACTCACTCACTCACTCACTCACTTACTCACTCAACTGCCCACCCACCCACTGACTCCCTGTCTGACTGGCTGTTATGAGTGATATCTCCATCCCCAGGACCTATGGGAAGGTAATACAGCGCCGTATCCCGAAGAAGATGTCGGCCACATCCTACTTCCACAAAGGGATTTCCCGCCTCCACGCCGAGGAGCTGTTGATGAGAGCTCGGGACGACGGCACCTTCTTGTTGCGAGATAGTGAATCTCTAGCTGGAGCCTATGTGCTGTGTTTGCTGTGAGTATATCCTTCTTTTAGCTCACCCGACCGTAATCCAAGCTACACGATTTACGGAAATTTATTTTCAACCCAAACTAGCTTCCACTGGAAACATCACTTGTGTGAGATCAAGCAGTATGTGTGATGGAGAAATCACGAGAATCAGTTGATTTTGGATACAGAGTCAACCAGCTTCGTCTGAAATCATCAGAATTGAGTGATTTCTCAGAACTGAACCATTTTATTGTTGCTATATAATAATTCCTTTGAATACCCTCCCTCTATTACATCATTGCCATAAATTCCTGTTTTGCCTGTCAATCCCACTATAAATCTTTTCAAATTTTCAACAGATGTCCTCTTCACTGCCAATCTATCTATTAAGTTGTGAGGTAAATCCTATCCTGGCAGGAAGCGAAACTGCAGAATTAAACCATGTTATAGTTGATATATTATTTCTGTATAATTTTGCATCACGATCATAGAAACTTTCGTCAGATTTAGTTGTTAAAATGCACGCTAAGAATGGCCAGTGATTTCATGGCTCATAATCAACTGCAAGAATAATAGCATGATATCATCGAATGGTTTAACCTCAGCGATATTGCTAAAATGAAATAACAGCACGATGCTTTGTAGACCATTAATCATCATGACATCACTCAAATTACACTCTCTGCCACTGAAGCTGGTTAGCTGTGCTCTATACACACAAGACACTGGTTATTACTGTTTACAAACTGAAAACAATGGAAGAATGATGTTGGATGATAAATAGAATTGGCAAGTCTTGGAGTTTTAAACTTTTATCCCCAGAAAAACTCCAGAGAGATTCTATGTAAACTTGCTGCCAAAAGAAACGGACCTGTGAAGATCCGGGGTAGAATAGGTCTTCAGCAACCCATGCTTGCTATAAAAGGCGGCTATGCTTGTCGTAGGAGGCGACTAACGGGATCGGGTGGTCAGGTTCGCTGATTTGGTTGATGCATGTCATTGTATCCCAATTGTGTGGATCGATGCACTGGATTGTCTTGTCCAGACTCTATTATTTACAGACTACTGTCATATAGATAGAATATTGCTGAGTGTGGCGTTAAACAACAAACCAAACCAAATAAAAAAGCCAAAAGAAACGCTAACCTTAGAAACATATATACAAGTATGTACGTTAAGAAGAATGGGTTTCCAATGTGTACCAATTAATGACAAAACTAACAATCAGTCAAGTGTTACCATAGAGTGTCTTTATCCTTATCCCGAAATGCTGCAAGTGATTTCCAAACTTTACATGCTAATCCTGCACAAGATAAATTGTGAATCTCGAGTCATAGATCTATGATGTCGCATGTGATGCGTTTATGAGTGTCTGTTCACACAACATACCAGTATGTTTGTTTGTGCTTCAAACCAATCTAATATATCTTGAAAAGGAGTAATTCTTCATTTATTTATGTTTTACAATCAGTGTGTTTTGAGCAGCTATGAGGGAGGGTTAGTGAGTATTTGCTGTAACATGAAGAAGTGGGACAGTATCTTAAAGTAGGTACAGGCAGCCAAAACATTAACTACCGTATTCGACGTAATAAGCGCCTACGGCGATATTTGCGAATATATTGGCTAGTGAACAATCCAAATTAGCACACCTTCCAATTGATCAATGTACACAAGACTTATTTATTCGCATATGATATGCTCTCATGTGTTATTTGCAACCTTAATTATGGGCAATTAAATTCTGGAAAAATATATCTGTCGCACATGAACATGAAATTTATCTTTCAACTCTGTTTTTTTGTCACCAAAATAATATTTTAATAAGAGCCCCCTATTTCTAATTTTGAGACGCCCTGGGCGCTTATTACGTCGAATACAGTACTTTTCTTGACATAACAAACTGACTTTTCTTAAACTAATAAGGAATACAAGCAGAACAAAAAAGAATTATGAAGATATCTTAAATAGTTCTTGAGGTATTGTCAATCAAACATCCATCGAAAAAGCCATGGGCAAATTTAATTACATTTGGACAAATTCAGTATTAATTAATTAATTAATTAATGCATTATTTCATAACAAAACA